AAATCAAGACATGTACACATACAGAATATTTACACTGTTTACAGTAGAAAAATAACAGTGCTGCATAAAAGCAGTACTAAAGCATAGATGAAAATGCTGCATATATGTTAAAAGCAGCCTCTGACATTAAGTAGCTAATCATACAAATAGTATTAACTAAATCTGACACTGAGTTATTAATAATAGCTTATTTCAATTATGCTAATGCTACACCTGTTTTTCTGTAACTAAGATCCTAGAGGAAGAGTGTATGTGAGTTGCATATCATTAAATGTGGTCTTTGCAACCAAAAATTAGGCTTAGGCTTTGAAAGCCTCCATCAATCTAGGACATGTTTAAAATATGAAATCTCTTAGTTATGCAAGGCTTACTAACAATAATGACAGAGATAAGTTTGCTTGTTATTGGGAAAGACAGACCCATGGTGAAATTCTGCAAAATTACAGGTTGAACTTCTCTAGTCCGGCATCCTGGGGAATGAACCAGAGAATTTGCTAAACCCCAGTGGGTCAATATTGTAGTGAGTGGGTCTCTTTATTTTTATTTTACTGAGGTGTATCAATGGAACAGTGCTTGCAATTCTGCTTAATTATACGTGACTGTGCTGATATACCCTATATATGCCTATGCCAGGCCCAGGCTTGTCAGTTCTCTTCATAACAAAGTGTTAGTGTTGTTACTATATTGGCGCAAGGAAATAAGTACATAAAGCATTAAAAAAATCGTGCTTATGCTTTGCAGCATTACCAGCACTTCCACTGCTTGCTGGTCTTTTTAGAAGACATTTAGGGATAAATTAGATTAAATAACAGCACAGAACACTGAGAGCTAGGATTGGTGGCTGTAAACACACTTTACGGAACCACAGGAAATTTGTCCACACCCATGATAAATGGACAACCTACTAACTAAAATCATGATGGACCATGGATGTTGCTGGACCAAAGAATGCTGGACTAGAGAGGTCCAACCTGTAGTACAAGTGAGAGTTTAAAAGCATATGTGGTATCTGACTGTGATTTATTTTATTTTATTTTATTTTATTTTATTTTATTTTATTTTATTTTATTTTATTTTATTTTATTCGTTTGTGAAAACAGCAGTGATTTTGCTGGAAAAATGTCATTGAAAGATTCAAAGAAGACATATTCGACAAGGGAGTAAGACAGAAGTTTCATGTTTGAAGATCATTTCTTTAAAAAAATGTTCAGCGTAACAACGGTCTCTTATTCTTTCAAACAGCTCAGAAGATCTGAAGAGGATGAAGAGAAGGAAGAAGATATTGAAGTACCGAAGGCCATGGGAGATATATTTGAGTCACTAGCTGGTGCCATTTATATGGATAGTGGGATGTCTTTGGAAATGGTTTGGCATGTATACTATCCTATGATGAGGCCATTAATAGGTAATGTGCCAACTTTCATAGAGAAGAAAATTTTAATAATTAATTGTCCTGTACTGTAAGAGGGGAAAATCAAGGTTTTTTGTTTGTTTGTTTGTTTGTTTGTTTTTAAACATAGAAAAGTTTTCTGCAAATGTGCCTCGGTCTCCAGTGCGGGAGCTGCTGGAGATGGAACCAGAGACGGCCAAATTTAGGTAAGAGTAAATTTGCTTGGTAAGCATTGCTGTAAAATATTTGTTTAAACCATGCTTTATAGTCTACTGAACATTTTTAATTGATATTGATTGTGTTTGATCTGTTCTTTATTGAGCAAGAATGATTTTTTTTGTACTTATGACTTTTTTAGGACATTTCCTCCCAGAAGTCTTTCCAAGTAAAAGATAAATATATAATTAAATATGCTTTATTTTTATACACACATCCATAGAAAGATGATGTGAAGGGTTTTTTTTTTTTTCACTTTTGCTTATATTAGTGGTAATGTGTGTGGGGTTTTTTTTTGTTGTTTTTTTTTTTTTTTGCAGTCCTGCAGAAAGAACTTATGATGGAAAGGTCAGAGTAACAGTGGAAGTTTTAGG